TAATAGCTCCTCTCTCTGATTTTATGTCATCTATGGATAGGAGCTAGTCAACTCATGATGTATTTAAAAATACAAACAGCCCACCATACCCCAGATTGAACCATTTCAACATCCATTTTGCAAAACCAATTTTCACCTATCTGTGGTTCGCTGTGATGGCTTTGGCTGCTCTTACTAGGGTTGCTTAAACATCTGGCGTTAGCTGGCAGTAAGCTGGTAGTTGAACAGTCCAGGAAGGGCTCAGCTGAAATGACTCATGTCTGCATCCTCAAGTAGGCTAGCGTGAGCTTGTTCCCATGGCCATGCCCGGGTTCCAACGGAAGTGTGAAAGCATCAGCCCCACCCCTGGCATAGCATAGCACAGAGTAAGAATGGATATTAACCTAGAAGATGACAAAAATAAAATCACCACCACATGGCCAATGTGTGTGCTTCCTTTATGAAAATTTTTTGTAAATAGCACTGACATTCATTTTTCCCCAAAGATCTCAAGGGACCTCAATATATCTTGTTATTGGTGAGCTCTTTGGGGATATGTTCTTAACTATAAATCTTCCAAGAGGTACTTTCATTCAAGTCACATTTCTTCATGATTTTAACAAGGGTTTGGTGAATATTTTCATTTATCAAATTTGATGTTGCTGCTAAGAAACAATTTATACTCTTCTGAACCCGTGAATATCATTATAATATTTGTTAGTAGCAAAATATTAGAAATACTGGGCACCAGTGGCTCATACCTGTAATCCTAGCTACTCGGGAGGCTGAGATCTGAGGGTCCTGGTTCAAAGCCAGCCTGGGCAGGAAAGTCCATGAGACACTTAATCTCCACTAAACCACTCGGAAAACCAGAAGTGGTGCAGTGGCTCAAGTGGTACAGTGCTACCCTTGAGCTAAAGAGCTGTGGGACAGTGTTCAGGCTCAGAGTTCAAGCCTCATAACTGACAAAAAAAATTAGAAACAATGAAGGAATAAACTCATGAGAATCCTTATGATAAATTATTTCATCTTCTTTTTATGCTATATACTTCTTAAATAATATTTTTGTATCTTTTTTTCAGATGTAACCTTGATTCTTTTTTTAATACTTTTTTATTGTGAAAATACTGTACAGAGGGTTTACAGTTACATGAGCAAGGTAATGAGTACATTTCTTATCAAGCATTGTTGCCTCCTTTTTTATTTTTAAATACTTTTTTATTGTAAAAATACTTTACAGAGGGGTTAGAGTTACATGAGCAAGGAAATGAGTACATTGTTACCTCCTCCTTTGTTTTTCCCCTTCCATCCTTTCCCTCCCACCTCCACAACTACAACTACACTCCCTCCCCTCCCCCACTAAACTGTAAAGTTCATTTTCAACATAGTATCTTGTGCATCTCATTGTTACAATGGGTCAACCTGTATCCCTATTTAAGCATTTTGTTTAAGTAGTTGTACCATTCAAAAAATCTATTTATAAGTACAATGCATCTAGAGCCACGTCATCCCTGTCATCATTGTCCCCATCCTTCTCAGCCCAACCCTTCCCCTCAATTTCCTAATTTCTTTGGATATACATTAAATAGTATGATTGCTTTCTCCCACCCTCCTCTCTTCATACATCTACCTCCCTCCCCTTGACCTCTCCTGACACTTTTCAAGCGCCAGTTGTCTGGTATTCATTTTGTTAGATTTTTAGTATTTCTAAGGAATTATACCATTTGAAATTTCCCCTGCAAATACCATACTTCCATTAATTTATGTATATTTGTGTGCAAACTTAATATGTGTTTACTTATATATTAATAAATTAGTTCTAGCTTCCACATATGAGAAATATATTCATCCTTTGTCTGAGCCTGACTTGCTTCACTTAACATAAATGATGACAGGGGCAGTGAAACCCACTAGACACTATGTTGGAAATGAACTATACAACTTTGAAGGGAAGGAAGTCACGAGGGGAAAAACTGGCAGAGAATGAGGGAAGGGGTGACACTGTTCAAAATGAAATGTACTCAACACTTCACTCATGTAACTAACCACTCTGTACATCACCTTCATAACAAAAGAAAAGATTAAAAGAAACTTTCTAGGAATATCTAACACTAAAGAGAATAATAAATGATGAGATGGGAAGATAATCACAATTTAATTTCTTATATATTCACTTTATTTTAGTTTAGTTTTTATAAAGTAGTCACAGTGAATTCGTCACAGTCAAAGCCCTCAGGCTATCCACAATTTCAAAACTTGTAGTAAGCTTAAAGTTTCTTTTTTTTAAAAAAAAATCTTACTTTCCTTATTTCACAATTTAATTTTAATGAAATTAATATATGGTGAAACAAAATATAAATGGAATTCAGGTATCATATTTTATAGCTAATATTAGAAATATTTTTAAGTCTTGAAAAGAGATTAGCACTTATTAACACTTTTTATCTTTGGATTGCAAGAATATTGAATGTTTTATTTTCATTTGAAACTCTTAGACATCTAAAGCCTTTATAGTAGACTCATTTAAATGATATTATCAGAAAAAAATTTAAAAATTTTCCTAGTTGGTATTTTTCCTTGGAATTAAACTATTGCTAACATTTTCTTCTATGTGTTTTCAAGATTGTAGAATTTCCATTCTGGTCTGATGGCATTTGGAATATTATTGTAACAAGAGGGAGAATGTATCTGCCATTATTAAAGGAGCTTTATTTTAATATTTGATTCATAAATATTTCCCTCTTTAAAGTTTTTCTTGCAGCTGAGTGTGGTGACTCACACTTAGAATCCTAGCCCTTGTGAACCGGAGGCAGCAGGGTTGTAAGTTAGAAACCCTATCTTAAAAAATAAAAATACCTGAAACTATCATCAACATGTATTTTCTTTTCTTGATTTTCTCTTTTGGAAGTTCTAGGGTCGCACTCAGTGTCTCATACATGTCAAGCAAACTCAACCCCAACCTCAGCCCTATATTTTCCTTCCCAAAAGATAAATAGAGCTTTCTACTGTCTTTAGATGCACAGTGTCAACACTAAAGTTGATTTGAAAGGATGGAGAGCTATATCAGAGGATTAGAAAGCAAGGAAAAATTTCATCTCAAATATTGTTGCCATTACTCAACAAGGAGCTTATCATTAGCTACATTCATATTAGCACTGATCATTTGTTATTAACTCTTACTAGCACTAAAATGTATGCCTCACAAAGTGACATGTGGAATGTTTAAGTCACTAGCTGGAGTGCTAGAAGGCACCCTCCAACAACACAATAAGTAAGCTTTTCCTAAAGGCATAGAGAATGTGCAAATGAGTAACTCACCTGTCAGACACAATGTCTACTAGAGTTACGGTGATAAAGGTAACTACAAATCCTTGATTCACCTCCTGCTGACAAGTGTACTCTATTTTCTCTTGAATCTGAGTAGATTGTGCCACTACTCAGACACTGGAATATGATGGAAGAGACATGCTAGTCTTGGGCTTCTAGTCTTAAAAGACTGGTAACTTCTAAATACTGTCTTGGAACACTCACTCTTGGAAGCCAACTGCTAGGCTGCAAGAATCCCAAGCAACAGGGAAAATACACACACATATTGCTGTAGTAGAAACTTGTAGCTTGATTTCCAGTCAACAGAAGATCATCTGCAGCCATGTGACTGAACCATTTTGGAACTAAACTAGTCATATCTTTAGAGGGCTCTAGACTTTGACACTATCTGTCTCTGGTTATTTATTTTATTTTATTTAGTGTTATTAATCACTATTATTATCATCGTTATATAGTTGTACAAAGCAGTTGTTATTTAAAAGAACAGTTTATGAATACAATATATCTTGATCAGTGTCACCCCTTGCAACATTCTTACCCATCTCTCCCTTCTCAAACCCTCCCCTCATTCTTCTTAATTTTGTAAAATATACATTGGGGATTCTTGTCTGCATTTTCCACTTAAATAAAGTATCCCAAGCCAGTTCTAGCCCACAGAGCTCAGTCCCCACACAACCATGGAACAGAATCATAAGTTGTAACTTTAATCTGCTAAGTTTAGGGATGATTTAATAAACACTCATTTAAAAATGAATGAGCCAGAACTTGTTGCACTTGAAACAAATTTAAAAATGCTTATAGGGAACAGATGATAACATAAGATCTCTATAGATCTACTTTTGCAACTCTATGGAGCAATACAGAGAAGAATTTATGATAGGATACATATTGCTGAGTCCTGTATGAATGCAAGTAATCAATTATACCATGAAAAAATAAAGTTAACACATTATGCTTGGAATTGATGAGATGCTGCCACGCAGATGACACTTTACTGTTTACCATAGTTGTCAAAAATATGAATTTTAGTTATTTATTTTGTTTTTGCCAGTCCTGGGCTTGAACTCAGGCTTTGGTGTTGTCCCAGAATTTGTTCTGCTAAAGGCTAACGCTTTACCACTTGAGCCACAGCACCACTTCTAGGCTTTTTTGAGTAGGTTTATTGGAGATGAATCTCATGGACTTTTCCTGCCTGGGTTGGCTTTGAATTGCGATCCTCAGATCTCAGCCCCCGGGTAGTTAGACTTACAGGCCTGAGCCACTGGCACCTGGTAAGTATATGAATTATTATATCACATTTTTCCTTCCTTTCCTCTCTCTGCCTCCAGTTTTCATGTTGCTTTCATTCTATTCCACTTGACATCAGCAGGAAACCAGTGTCTGTCAATAATTTCTCATGCCTTGCAGAAAGAGGCTGCTCAAGCTGATATCCAAATAGATAAATGGAGGTCAGGTAAGGTGAGGGTAGCTCTGGGCAGGATTCCATCCACCAAAGCCCATATCCCACTTTACACATTGGTGTTCTCTGCTTGATGATAAATGGGAAGAGGGAAATAGTCTCCTCCTTACAAAAGAGTGCATTTTTATGTATTAAAAAAATCTATAGCCACAAAGCAGTAGATGTTTAAATCTTTCATAACTCAAAAATAAAGCTTAAGTAAGATTCAGGGGTGTTTTGTCACTTTTATTTTCAGGCATTCCAAAGTTGATTACAGCTGACATGGTTAAAGAAGATGCTGCTGTGATTGATGTGGGCATCAACTATGTTCAAGATCCTGTGACAGGGAAGACAAAATTAGTGGGAGATGTGGACTTTGAAGGTAAGAAATCAAATCTTTTTTGGCAACTGAAGAGTTAAAACATGACTCAACCTCATATACTTTGATAGTAGAAATGTTCTATCACCTAGTGGGGATATTATTAAGGTATTAATCATCATTTTCTCCTGTAGGAAGAGTTTAATCATGCTTACATCATCCTCCCCATTTCTTCCTTCCTTCCTCCTTTTCCCTCCCTCTTCTTCTTTATTTCTTCTTTCTGTTCCTTCTGCTCTCCTTTTCCTCTCTTTTTTCTCTGTCTTCCCTCTCCCTGCCTCCATTCTTTCTTTCCTTTTTATCCTCCCTCTCTTCTAATTAGGTTTTAAGGTCACATATCTTAGAGCAATTGTGTGTGTGGGGGGGGGAGCATGCACACTGGCCTTGAACTCGAGATTCAGGGCCTGGGCACTCTCCTTGAACTATTTTTCCCCCCACGCATGACTAGCGTACTTTACCACTTGAGCCACTTTCCAGCTTTGTCTGGTAGCTAATTAGAGCTAAGAGTCTCACAGACTTTTTTTCCCTTTTTGGGGGAGAGGGGGTCAGTTGTGAGGCTTGAACTTTGGGCCTGGGCGCTGTCCCTCAGCTCTTCAGCTCAAGGCTAGTGCTTTACCACTTGAGCCACAGTGCCACTTCTGGTTTTCTGGTGGTTTATTGGGGATGAGTTTCACGACCTTTTCTGCCTGGGCTGGCTTTGAACCACAATCCTCAGATCTCAGCCTCCTGAGTAGCTGGGATTACAAGTGTGAGCCATCAGCGCCTGGCTTTATCACAGACTTTTCTACCTGGGCTGGCTTTGAACCACAATCCTCAGATCTCAGCCTTGTTTGTTAGATATGATCAGTATGATCAAAATTATTCCTGGGTAGCTAGGATTGCAGGCGTGAGCCATCAGTGCTCAGCTTATAGCAATTTTAAATGAAAGCGTCCATCTGGCCTTTCAGAAACGTACATTATTTTGACCTTCTGAAAAGTCATCACATACTAACTATACTTACACATTTCTGCTCTTTACTCAGCCCTTCACTCTTACAGCCAGAAGGTATTTTGGGAATGCATTGCTAACTTGAATCATGTTTTAGATCTAAACAATGGTCTGAATAACTGAAGTTACGTTCTTCACTTGTGTTTTATATTTCATTTTTTGTTTGTTTGCTTGTCCTGAGGCTTGAACTCAGGGCCTAGGCACTGTCCCTGAGCTTTTGTAGGGCTAGTGCTCTACCAATTGGACCGTGGTTTTACTTCCACCTTTTATTTCAGTTGAGTGTCTCACGGACTTTTCTGCCTCCGTCTGGCTTCAAACTGTTATCCTTAGATCTCAGCCTTCTGAATAGTGAGGATTGCAGGCATGAGCCACCAGCACCAGCACCTGGTTTCACTTGTGTTTTAAAGAGAATGAGTGGAACTAGGTTAATATTTCTATGGTCAATGAAGGATTTAAGAAAGCCAATTATAAAACAAAGTTCTGACTCCATGACTTTTCTTTATCCCGCAAGAGAGATCTCTAGGTGAGTGACTCCCTAAACCAATTTTACTTCCAAGATCTTCATTAGATTCTTTCCTGTACTTAGTAGAATAATAGGAGTCTCAGATGTCTATAAAGATATAAGTAAAATGACTGGAGACATTTTCATATAGAAAATACTTTATGTCTATGACTGATCACATGAACAAGCAAGCAAGCCCATATAAGACTTACTAGTATCATTACAAATAGAAAGGAATAGATGATAAAATTTTAAAATTTCAGATTTTAATTTTCACTCAGAACCTGGTTATCACCTGATATTTACCCAAGTCCTGACATGATGTTGAATAAAATTAAAAGCTTAGACAGTTGGAGTTGTCCCAAGTTATTGGTAACCTATATGTAAAATTCTGGGACATAACTGAGAGCAGGTACAGGCAAGCAGTTTGAGCCTGACAATAAAATAAAAAATAAATCCATGAACACAAATATGCACTAGAATGGCGAACAGGAACAAAGCATGGATGTACCTTGTTGAAGAATACACTTCTGCCCTTATAGGCTTTAATACCTAGAGTCTCTTGATGTGCTTGAAATTCTAGTCTATCAGTGTTGGTTCTCTGCATGAGAATTTGTGTCTGCATCTCTCTCTTTTTCTTAATTTTTTTTGGTTGTGGATCTTGAATTCTGGGCCTGAGCTCTGTCCCTCAGCTCTTCAGCTCAAGGCTAGCACTCTACCACTTGAACTCCAACACCACTTCTGGTTTTCTGAGTGGTTTATTGGAGACTTTCCTGCCTGGGCTGGCTTTGAACCAAGATCCTCAGATCTCAGCCTCCTGAGTAGCTAGGATTACAGGCGTGAGCCACCGGGTCCCAGCTTCTCTCTTTCTTTCTCTCTGTGTATGTGCTAAATTCTTATGAAATGACCCACTTTTATTCAATCAATAAATTATTTTATATCAGTAATTTATTTGAATGTCTCAACTCAAATGAGTAAAGATGCATTTCATTTTAAATCCTAGATCATTATTTCATTTTATTTCTTGATAACATTATTGTAAAATCACCATACACTTATAATTCACTGGTGAGGGGGTATTGATGGCATGAGATACCCAGCTGAAGGAAAAAACAAACAAACAAACAAAACCAGGAGCAGCTCACAACCTTGACATGGTTTGTGGGGCAGGCTTATCTAGCAATACACAACAGTTTTTAACATTCTTCTGTCATGGGTATTTCAGTGGGCTCAGATCATGTCCTTGGTTTCTTATTTTTCTCAATGATGCTTTTTTGTTTATGAAAAACGCCTTGAAAACATTTTTTTTTCAAACTGAGCATTTTGGAGTGGTCATGAATGCTTATGGACGTGAATACGTATTTGCTCAACTTGCATAAAGCTCAACTTGGTGAATATCCATTAAATCAAGTTGTAGTTCTTTATTAACAAAGTATATAAGAAAAAGGAACATGGCAAAAAGAAATAAAGCTATAAGATAAATGGGAAGAATCCTAGCTGGTAAAACTGCTGAGGTTATTTTAGAAAGAGAACTATTGATGTCTTCCTATGCCTAACTGATGCATTAAGTTTTATCATAGGAAAATAGGTATAGGAACAGAATGTTCAGTTCAGCACTGTGTATAGGTATCTTGAAATGTATTCCATACAGATAAAGGGGAAAGGATTATTATATGTTAGTGTTTTATTGTTTGGCCTATCTTGTTTGTTCAACAGAATATTACCAAATGTTCATGTATAAAGCATAGAAACTTTTTGAAGGAAGTCCCAATATTCAAGTTTGCTGATCCTATAATGAATATAGACAGCTGTTTATTAGTATTATCTATCAATTTTCTTGGCTATCCTGCTAGTGCATGGAGCCAAAGCACCGAGGAAGATCACACTATATAAATAAGGCCTTTCCGGTGATGCGGTGACTCAGTCATCCATAGAAGCTGGCAAGTGATAGGTTTTGACATGTTGCTTTTCAGGTTGTTCATCACGACTTAACCTGAGGTGAGGGATGGTCCCCCAGCCGAAAGGGAGGGACTTGAACTTGGATTATGCCACAAAACTCCTAGGTAGCACTGGGCTGCAAATTGCCACAGGGAAAGTGTGGCTGCTTTGTGAGTATCGGTGAAAGTTTCACTATAACTCCTGCCAAGAAAAACAAAACGGATGTCGGTAGAATCAAATGCTGAAGTTAATTGTCCTACAGAGAAGTCTGGCTCATTAATAAAGGGAACTGAGCCACCCACATGAAGTAGCTTGCATTGATGAGAAGGCTTTGACATAAATGAACAAAGTAGATGTGACAAAAAGGATAATGGTGTACCAAGGGAAGTGATGCTGTGGTGAACTTTATACTAGACCAACTTTCAGAGATAACTTATGACCTGAAAGGGCAAGATTAAAAATAAATAAAAGTGATGGACTAATTAAAAAAAATTAGAAGCCATTGCAAATTGAAAAAGGATCGAGTACTTAACCAAGGCTAGAAAAGATTCTTTCTCCAAATAAGTTGCATGATGATAAGCCGAGCACTAGTCAAGATATTCTTAATAGGATTCTTAATAGGATAAGAAATAAGATACTAGTTCTCCATGCTCCTAAAGGTCTTAAAATATGTGCCTTTTGCCAGGCTCTGATGGCTCACACCTGCAAACCTAGCTACTCAGGAGGCTGAGATCTGAAGATCGTGGTTCAAAGGCAGTCCAGGCAGGAAAGACTATGGGACTCTTAATAATGTCCAATAAACCACTCAGAAAACTGGAAGTGGCATTGTGGCTCAAGTGGTAGAGTGCTTGCCTTGAGCTGAAGAGATGAGAGACAGCACCCAGGCCCAGAATTCAAGATTCACGACCAACAAAATATAAAATAAAATAAATATGTTACTCTTAATAAACAGATAGTTTTGGAGGTACTAGAGATTGAACTCAGAGCTTCACACTAGCTAAAACAGGCAAATCTACCCGCCTGAGCCACACCACCAGTCCTTATAATATTAATTTTAGGAGAAGATCTCACATAATAGCTAGGCTGGCCAAGATTGCAATCCTCCTCTTCCTGCTTCCCTGTATCACTGGAATGACTGACATGTACCACTGCACCCACGCAGTTAAGATACTTTGTGAACTTTTTTTCACAATGATCCCATGAGCTGTGCCTCCCAAGTAGTTAGGATTTCAGGCGTGGACCATTGTACCCAATCGTTTTATCATTATTTTCAATTCCTTGTGTATTTATAAGTCAAGGTAAGAAACTTATCATTCTGACTTTTTTAAAGATTGAATCATGATCTTTAAAAAATATAAGCCAGATATACACTTAGAAAACTGATGTTAGATCATTATATATCACCAAAATCAACTCCAAATGGATCAAAGACCTCAAAGTAAGAGCAGATACCCTGAAAATGTTACAGGGAGGGATTGGGTATATGCTAGGGTTCCTTGGCACAGGTTGAAACATTCTAAATAGAGATCCAGAAACACAGCAAATCAAAGAAAGATTAGATAAATCGGATTACATTAC